CCCTAACAGTTCGCCATGCTCAGAGAGTCCAGTTTTATCCCATGCTTCCTCAGTCACAGTCCAGCTGGTCTTGGTGAGCTCCCAATAGATCAGCTCCACTGTCTCAGTGGGTGGGTGCATCCCTCGTGGTCCCGACTTCTCTGCTCATGTACTCTCTCCTTCTGCTCCTCATTGGGACTTTGGGGGCTCAGTCCAGTGCTCCAGTGTGGGCCCCTGTCTCTATCTCCATCCATCACTAGATGAAGGTTCTATGATGATATGCAAGATATTCGTCAGTATTGCTCAAGGACAGGGTCATTTCAGGTTCCCTATCCTCAACTGCCCAAGGAACTAACTGGGGACCTCAGCTTGGACACCTGGGAGCCCCTCTAGGGTCAGGTCTCTTGCCAACCCTAAAGTGGTTCCCTCAACTAAGAACTGTGGTTCCGTGCTCCCCTGTCCAACCTTCCTTTATCCCAGTCCTCCTGCTTTCCCAAGGCCCTGGACTGGAGAGGGTGGGGGAAGGGAGAGGGGGGAGGGGCAGAAGGGTGAGAGGAGGGGGCGTGGGGGGGAGGAGGGGGAGGGAAGTGGGAGGATGGGAGGAGGTGGAAACTTGTTTTTTTTTCTCCTTTTCTCAATTAAAAAAAATGTCTACTAAAAAAAAGAATCCAATTAACTAACCAATTTCTTCATAAAATAAAATATTAAAACAAAAAAAAAGAAAACAGAGAAAGCACACATTGGAGACTTAACAGCCCACCTGAAAGCTCTAGAAAAAAAGAAGCAGACTCACCTAGGAGGAGTAGAAGACTGGAAATAATCAAACTGAGGGCAGAAATCAACAAAATAGAAACACAGAAAACAATCCAAAGAATCAATGAAACAAAAACCTGGTTCCTGGAGAAAATCAACAAGATTGATAAACACCTATCCAAACTAATCAAACGACAGAGAGAGAACACGCAAATTAATAAGATCAGAAATGAAAAGGGGGACATAACCACAGACACAGAGGAAATTCAGAGAGTCATTAGATCTTACTACAAAAGCCTGTATGCCACAAAACTGGAAAATGTAAAAGAAATGGACACTTTTTTAGATAAATACCATTTACCAAAATTAAACCAGGACCAAGTGAACAATCTAAACAGACCTGTCAGTCGCGAAGAATTAGAAGCTGTTATCAAAAACCTCCCTACCAAAAAAAAGCCCAGGACCAGATGGTTTCAATGCGGAATTCTCCCAGAACTTCCAAGAAGACCTAATACCTATACTCCTTAATGTATTTCACAATATAGAAACAGAAGAGTCATTACCAAATTCCTTCTTGAAGCCACAGTTACTCTGATACCAAAACAGCACAAAGACTCAACCAGGAAAGAGAACTATAGGACAATCTCACTCATGAATATCGACGCAAAAATCCTCAACAAAATACTGGCAAACCGAATCCAAGAACACATCCGAAAAATTATCCATTGTGATCAAGTAGGCTTCATTCATGAGATGCAGGGCTGGTTCAACATACAAAAATCTATCAATGTAATGCAGCATATGAATAAACTGAAAGAAAAAAACCATATGATCATTTCATTAGATGCTGAAAAAGCATTTGACAAAATCAACATCCATTTATGTTAAAAGTCTTGGAGAGATTAAGGATACAAGGGTCATACCTAAATATAATAAAAGCTATATACAGCAAGCCGACAGCTAACATCAAATTAAACGGAGAGAAACTCAAAGCCATCCCACTTAACTCAGGAACACGACAAGGCTGTCCACTCTCGCCATACCTCTTCAATATAGTGCATCAACTTCTAGCAATAGCAATAAGACAACATAATGGGATCAAGGGGATTCGAATTGGAAAGGAAGAAGTCAAACTTTCGTTATTTGCAGATGATATGATAGTGTACATAAGCAACCCCCAAAACTCCATCAAAGAACTTATACAGCTGATAAACACCTTTAGCAATGTGGCAGGATACAAGATCAACTCCAAAAAATCAGTCGCCCTCTTATACACAAAGGATATGGAAGCAGAGAGGGAAATCAGAGAAGCTTCACCTTTCACGATCGCCACAAACAGCATAAAATATCTTGGGGTAAATCTAACCAAGGAAGTGAAAGATCTATTTGACAAGAACTTTAAGGCATTGAAGAAAGAAATTGAAGAGGATACCAAAAAATGGATGGACCTCCCTTGCTCTTGGATTGGGAGGATCGACATAGTAAAAATGGCAATTCTACCAAAGGCAATTTATAGATTCAATGCAATTCCCATCAAGATCCCATCAAAATTCTTCACAGACCTGGAGAGGACAATAATCAACTTTATATGGAAAAACAAAAAACGCAGGATAGCCAAAACAATCCTATACAATAAAGGATCTTCTGGAGGCCTTACCATCCCTGACTTCAAACTCTATTACAGAGCTACACTAATGAAAACAGTGTGGTATTGGCATAAAAACAGAGAATCGTATAGAAGACCCGGATTTTATCCCACAAACCTATGAACACCTGATTTTCGATAAAGGAGCTGAAAGTATACAATGGAAGAGAGAAAGAATCTTCAACAAATGGTGCTGGTATAACTGGATGTCAACCTGTAGAAGAATGAAAATAGACCCATATCTATCACCATGCACAAAACTCAAGTCCAAATGGATCAAAGACCTCAATATCAGCCCGAAGACACTGAACCTGATAGAAGAGAAAGTGGGAAATACCTTACAACAGATGGGCACAGGAGATCGCTTCCTATGTATAACCCTAGAAGCACAGACATTAAGGGCAACATTGAATAAATGGGACCTACTTAAACTGAGAAGCTTCTGTAAAGCAAAGGACACTGTCACTAAGACACAAAGGCAACCTACTGACTGGGAGAAGATCTTCACCAACCCCGCAACAGACAAAGGTCTGATCTCCAAAATATATAGAGAACTCAAGAAACTAGACTTTAAAATGCTAATTAACCCAATTAAAAAATGTGGCACTGAACTGAACAGAGAATTCTCAACAGAAGAAGTTCAAATGGCCAAAAGACACTTAAGGTCATGCTCAACTTCCTTAGCAATCAGGGAAATGCAAATCAAAACAACTTTGAGATATCATCTTACACCTGTCAGAATGGCTAAAGTCAAAAACACCAAGGATAACCTTTGCTGGATAGGCTGTGGAGGAACGGGTACCCTCATCCATTGCTGGTGGGAATGCAATCTTGGGCAACCACTGTGGAAGTCAGTGTTTCGGTTTCTCAGGAAATTCGGGATCAACCTACCCCTGGACCCAGCAATACCACTCCTGGGAATATACCCAAGAGATGCTCTATCATATGACAAAAGCATTTGTTCAACTATGTTCATAGCAGTATTATTTGTAATAGCCAGAACCTGGAAACAACCTAGATGCCCTTCAATGGAAGAAGGGATGAAGGAAGTATGGAATATATACACACTAGAGTACTACGCTGCGGTAATAAATAATGACTTCTCGAATTTTGCATGAAAATGAGTGGAAATAGAAAACACTATCCTGAGTGAGGTGTCCCAGACCCAAAAATATGAATATGGGATGTACTCACTAATAATTGGTTTCTAGCCATAAATAAGGGTCACGGAGTCTACAATACATGAACCTAAAGAAGCTAAGTAAGAAGGTGAACCCAAGGAAAAACATATAGTTATCCTCTTGGCTAAGGGAAGTAGACCAAATTGCCGGGGAGAAAATTGGGATCTTGGGGGTGGGGTGGGATGGGGGTAAGGGGAGATGGGGAGAGAAAAGGTAGAAGGGAAGGAGGGGGGACTTGGGGAAACAGGATGATTGGGATAAAGGAAGGGTGGATAGTGGAGCATGGAACCACAATTCTTAGTTAAGGGAGCCACTTTACGGTGGGCAAGAGACTTGACCCTAGAGGGGCTCCCAAGTGCCCAAGATGAGGTTCCCAGTTAGTTACTTGGGCAGCTGAGGATAGGGAACCTGAAATGACCCTATCCTAGAGCAATACTGACGAATATCTTGCATATCATCATAGAACCTTCATCTGGTGATGGATAGAGATAGAGACAGAGACCCACACTGGAGCACTGGACTGAGCTCCCAAGGTCCCAATGAGGAGCAGAAGGAGGGAGAACATGTGCAAAGAAGTCGGGACCACGAGGGGTGCACCCACCCACTGAGACAGTGGAGCTGATCTACTGGGAGCTCACCAAGGCCAGCTGGACTGTGACTGTAAAAGCATGGGATAAAACTGGACTCTCTGAACATGGCGAACAATGAGGGCTGATGAGACGCCAAGGACAATGGCACGGGGTTTTGATCCTATGTAATGTGCTGGCTTTGTGGGAGCCTAGCCAGTTTGGATGTTCACATTCCTAGATATGGACGGAGGGGGGAGGACCTAGAACTTACCACAGGGCACAGAACCCGAACTGCTCTTTGGACTGGAGAGGGAGGGGGAGAGGAGTGGGGAGAGGGGGAGAAGGATGGGAGGAGGGGGAGAAGGGTGGGAGGAGGGGGAGGGAAATGGGAGGCTGGGAAGAGGTGGAAACTTGTTTTTTGTTTATGTTTTTTTTCTCCTTTTCTCAATAAAAAAAATTTTAAAAAACAGAATTAATTACGTTACTTTTTTTGAGTCTTTATTCTCCATTCCCTCGTAGATAATATTTTCATTGGCTGTTTACAATTTTGAAAGATTAAGTTTTTCCTGAAATAACATATATTCTTTACATAGCACATCCGTAGTGCACACCTGCATCACACTTCAGAAAGATTAGAGGGTAAAGATTCAAGAGAATATGTTGCAAGGCTCCTTTAAGACACATTTGCCATGCTCTAGGGAATTTTCTGCTGACATCAACTCCCAGTGGGTGAAACAGGAGCAGGTGCCCCTTTGAGCACCAGCACACACTTTTCTGGGCTGATTTACATATTGAGTCATTATGCAACAGCCCAGGCTCCTTTAAGGGCAGCTGCAGGAGCCTAAGAAGCATTCTCTTTTCAAGCACTCAGAGATGGAGTCAAAGGCACTCCTCCTATGGATGCTGCTGCTCAGGGTTCAAGGTGAGAGGGTGCAGACCAGTGTTGGGGGCATCCACTGGGGCCATCATGGTTTTCCATGCCTCTGCTATCTTTATCATTAGATTTAAGCCATTTGTAATTGGGTTTATGTTCCCCGTTCTCTTTGACGTTCTGGTTTCTCAAAGTAATGCTTACAAGTATTCTTGAAAATTTTTAGTGAAAAATTCCTCTGCTGGGAAAGTTTCTAAACATGTATAAACATGGTCTGTGTGTTTGTAATTCCAGGTTCCACTGGGGACATTGTGCTGACCCAGTCTCCAGGTTTGCTCCCTGTGTCTCTGGGACAAAAGGCCACCATCTCCTGCAAGTCTAGTGAGAGTGTCAATTACTATGGAATAAATTGTATGCTCTGGTATCAACAGAAACCAGGACAGCCTCCCAAACTCCTTATCTATGGTGCATCCAACCTAGAATCTGGGGTCCCAACCAGGTTTAGTGGCAGTGGGTCTGGAACAGATTTCACCCTCACCATCAATCCTGTGGAAGCTGATGATGCTGCAACCTATTACTGTCAGCAGAGTAAGGAGAATCCTCCCACAGTGCTCCATGGTTGAACAAAAACCTCCTGGGGTTGCTGCTCACTGAGGCTCAGTCTCTCAGCTGTCTCTTAGTCTCTGACACCTCAATACACAGCTCTAAACTTGTTTGAGAAAAGATCTTAAACAATGAAATAAACTTTTATGAAGTGATTTACATGTTTGTCCCACCCTATATACTTTATAATTTAATGATTTCCCAACAAAATATAGACCTCTATGGTTGTTTCTTAATTAATAATTATTCACTTAAAATTTTGTTAACACATATTTAATTTTCTCTTTTTCTGCCCTATCTTCCTGACCACATCTCTGCCTAATCCATCCCACCATCAGTAAAACCTTTTAGAGTTTCCTATCACTTATGATTTACTGTTTCTTTTTCTATGTGTTTCTAAATATAATGAATACAAAGTATTTCAACAGGAAAAAAGTTAACCAAAGTCATTTAGTGTGTGTGTGTGTGTGAGAGAGAGAGAGAGAGAGAGAGAGAGAGAGAGAGAGAGAGAGAGAGTCAGAGGATAATGTTAGTTCTCTCCACCATGTGGGACCTGAGAATCAAAATCATCTTTCAGAAGGAGGCTGACATTCTCACCCCAGGGGTTTTATTCTCCAATTGCTTTTATTTGGTTGCACTCACAAGCAGCCTGCTGCAGTTACTTAGAAACACAAGGCTATGTTACACCTAATTTTCTGCTTTGGTTCCAAAGTTTCTATCTTGTGTCCATCCCCAAATTAAGACCTTAGTATCAGATTATCTGACTGAATTTTGTCCTCATACAATACTCATCATTTTAAAGACTTCTGTAGTTGTGTTCAAAGTCTTACTGCCATTTCCTTCTTTTTGCTCCTTTCTTCCTTTCTTCATCCTTTGGGCGTGGTGTATAAAATATGAAAGTGGTGAGCATGTGACACAAATTACACATGGAGGACACAGGACATCAGGTGTTAGTCCCCAAATTCCACATTGTTTCAGGCAGGCTATCATCAGAGAACTTTCAAGACATAGGCTTAGGAAAGGAGAAGACTTGATGGAAGCCTTCTTCTCTTTTCAGGTAGGCAATGAGTCCTCATCAGTTTCAACTTCTCTAGAGTGCTGAGACCCTAGAAATCCTTGGATCCTCAATTCCTATATGAGAAGCACTTAGCAATTTCCTGTTCTGTGACGTGCTGTGTCAATAAGCTGGAAAAGAGAGAAAAAGCCCTCCTTAGAAAAGTACTAACTGTAGTGCTACCATCCAAATAGACATACCCAGCTATGAGGATGAAAAATGATCTGAGGGCCCCTATATGCAAGTAATTCTCTTGCTTTCCAGAAAGAGTTAAATCACTGTGGACACTGTTATGTGAAATCTACCTGTCTAGCCTCCACTACTACTGAATCTGTGTTAGATCAATGCCTCTCTGAGAAAACATTATGTGGAATTCTCTATTAATTACCCACCATTAAGTAGACTTTGACATCTTTAGTCTCCACTTACGGGAAATGTCAAGATAATTTTGCCCTCCAGAATAGAAACCCCCCTTCCTTTCATTTTAAATCAGATTTAATAAGAGTTTATGAGGTTTTACAGTTGACCCTGACAAACATACTGAAATTTTCCAAAATCTCACCATTAGTGAATATAACCTAGTTAAACATAGAGTGAGTCCCAAGTCAGACAAAAGTAAGTACAGGGAAACAAGTTGTTTCCAGGCTGCTGAGTCTTACACTGATGACCTTCTTGTATCATATGGTCCATCTCACCAGTTTCTTTGTGAAAAGGAAACATACCTGAAGTCAAGAAGGCATTTTCCAAAGAAAACCATTAATGGGACCATGGTAGACCCTTCATAGTACTGTGAAATAAACATTTCTTGTTGTATAATAGAGGGATTAAAAGGTCAAGGATTGAATCTTAATCAACCAGAAATTATCTATGACAAGTCAAAAACTTGTGGGGAAGTCCTGTACCTTTCTTGTTAAGCACAGAGCATGCCAGATGGTGGTGATACATGCCTTTAATCCCAGAACTTGGGAGACCGGGGCAGGCGAATCTCTGTGAGTTTGAAGCCAGCCTGGTCTAAAAGAGCTAGTTCCAGGACAGACACCAAAGCTACAGAGAAACCTTGTCTCGAAATAACAACAAAAAACTCACAGAGCAGAAGAAAAGTGCGCTCCCTATTCTTTCCCCTGCAACCTGAGGTGGGCAAGGGATCTACTTCAACACTTACCAAGGGCAACACTAGGGAGAGTGGACACTACACCTTCCTGGACAATTAGAGTGGGCACTGAAGGTGTATGTATGGGAGAGCTCACCTTGAGAGCATGAAAAAAGGAGAACTAGCCAAACCCCAGACTTAATACTGTAAAAAGTGAACTAGCTGGGGCAATGCTGGACAGTTCACCCTAGTGGTGAAGACAGGCAAGAGCTGGCAGGTTGACCAACTTTGCAGCTACCAAGATACAAAACCAGTGTTATGAGTTCACCTAACCCAACATCCTGAATGGTCATGGTGTCTGATCATTAAGAATTGAAGATGACAGCCTAAAATCCTAATGGTTCTATTGGTTAACTTGTGAAGAGTTAATCTGGATGCAGAAATTCTGTCTCCAAAGACAGTCTAGCCTCCAATGCCTTTACAAATTGGATGGGGAAATTGCAGCTTCCTTTGCTTACAAGGGTATTCTATCTTCCAATTTCCAATGTCTACTTTATCATCACAGTCTAAATACATCTCAAGAACCTCTTTTCTTTCCCTCATCAAAAACAATATCTTCTAAAATTATAATATTGGAAGGGATTAAAAATCATAATAAATTATTTAAAGTCACAAAGGCCTCAAAATCCAGCAACACTTAGTGTAATTCCACAAGGTTGGGTGTTCAAAAGACTAGTGAGTATGGAGGTCAGTTAAGGGCTCCTCTTCTTTAATCAGCCCATATTCCCTACACATTTAGGAGCCCACGACCCTATTCTTTGTTAACACAAATCCCTGAGAGGACCAAATATTTCACAATCTTAGGTTTAAGCAATGTATTTTTCTGCTTACATTTATATCTGGTTTACCAATATCTTTTTACATTTGGAGATCCATCAAACCAAACTACTTAACTCTCTTGAACTATATTGCCCCAACAGTTCCAAGACAGTTCTCACTTATATTGACAGACACTGTCATGGGATCAATCTGCATTTTCTTACTTACAAGTTAGTGTTCTCCAACATGCAGATAACCTCTTCCTTTGTACCTCCATGATGACACCTCTTAGGGAGGAACCACATAAACAATTGTAGAATGCACAGTATATTCTTGAATTACCACTTGATTTATTGAAAAAAATCAGTGAGAAAAGTATTCCTAGAATTAAATGAAAATAACACCTTTTCTCAGCATCTTCAAGATACAGCTATAAGACGAGGAAAGTCTATGATTGTAAATGCCTACTTAAAGAAATAGATAGACTCAAATAATGACCAAATTCAGAGAGATCTCAAGTTAGTAACTAATGATGAACCTCTGGTCAATGGAAAAGTTCAAGATGAACAGAAAGTCAATCGCTGGGAAGAGCTGATAAATATTATGAAATTAATGTAATGAATAATAAAACAACAATGTATAACATTATTCAAAGACTGTGTCCTGTGAATAAATACACAACAGCAAGAGAAACAGACCTACATTGATAAAATAGAGATACAAGGGAGGGACCTGCAATGCACTCAAATGCAATGCAAGGAAGCAATCATTGAGTGGGACTTTAAAATCTACACTCCCCCAAACTTGAATATCTAGAAGAAATGGATCTATGTCAAGATACATGTGACATAACCACATTAAATCACAATGATATCAAAAATTTCAACAGAACCATAGCAAGCAACTCTATTGAAGCAGTAATATAACAACTCTCAAGGGTAAAGCTCCCAATTGAAGGGATCATCTGTCAAATTCAGCCAGACCTTTAATGAAGAGTTGACACTAATGCCCCTGGAACTGTTCCATGCCATAAAGAAGGAAGAATCACCACCAGAAAAGGAGGGGGAAAAAACCCACAACAACTATGAAGCCAACATTACTTAGATACAAAGACATAAGGGGAAAATGACAAAGAGATCAATTTCCTTGATTAGCATAAACCCCACAAAAAAATCTGCAATTCAAATCGAACAGCATTTTAGAAGGAGTATACATTATGATCAAACTGATTGCAATCCAGGGATGAAAGATTCATTCAAAAACAGGACAGTGTGAAGCATACATTTAATCTCAGAACTTGGGGAGGCAGAGGCAAAGGGATCTCAGTGAGTTCAAACAAGAACATCTTGGACTACAAAGTGAGTTCCCCAGACAGCCAGCTCTACACATCAAACACAGTATTGAAAAAAAAAAAACAATAACTTCAACTCAACACAAACTGCTTCTAAAAAGAAATCTCATGGTCATCGCAGTCAGTGCAGAAAAGTCACCTAGAGTTGTGATAAATTTTCTGAAGGGACCACAAACAGAAGGCTCATTCCTGAAAACCGGAAAAAAGACAAATGACAAACTACCTCCATAACTATGATAAATAGAGGAAATATAGTATTATTTCTCAAATCTAGAGAAAAGGTTGCGAACGCATTCTCTCATTCTTACTCCATGTAATGCTCAAAGTCTCAGTCACAGTAAAAAAAGGAAGGGAAAGAAATGAAAGGGATATCAATAGTAAATGAAGGAGTCAAACATATATACATAATAAATTCATAAACTTAAAAGACTCTCTAAATTCGACCAGAAAGCTGTTAAATCGTAAATACTTTCGGCAACGAGCAGGATATCAAGTAAACATGTGAGAGTCTGTAGCATTTCTGTGTAATAGTAACAAACTTACTAAGGCAAGGTGAAATTCCATTCACAACTTCAAAACAAAATAAGTTTAAGCAAGGTGTAGTAGAAGGCTGCTTGATTGTTTCCTGCTGCTCAGACTCCTGAATTAACCACACAGAAACTATCTTATTTGCAATAATGTTTGGC